GCTCATCAATTTCGAGTCATGCCGACCAATCAAAAGTCGCATATCACCAAAGAACACTGGCGATCTTTAAACAAGCTTCGAAAAGACAAAAATCTTGTTATCCTACAAGCTGATAAAGGACAAAGTGTAGTGCTAATGAACAAGATAGATTATCTCGAAAAAATGCATCAAATTCTCGCCGATGAATCTAAATTCAAATTGGATAACCATGCAAAAGACCAAACGTTATCAACCGAAAGGAAAATTGTGCAGCATCTACGACAACTCTTCAAAAATAAATACATAGACGAAAACACATATAGAAATATCAAACCGATTGGGTCACAAATCCCAAAACTATACGGACGCGTAAAAATACACAAACCAGGAGCGCCGTTAAGACCCATACTCTCTATGATAAACTCGCCGTACCACAGACTAGCACAGTGGTTATGTGAACTGTTGCAGCCATTGTTGAAACGTTTCGGAACACATGTAGTCTCTGATTCATTTCAATTTGTCAATCAAATTAAAGATTTCAATGTATCCGATAAGCATTTGGTCTCTTTCGATGTTACCTCCCTTTTCACAAATGTGCCAGTTGTTGAGACTATCGACTTCATATGTAAAGAAGCTGAAGACATACCCATTCCAACATCGGAATTGAGGAAATTACTACTTTTATGTACTAAAAATGTCCAATTCCAATTCAACGGGCGTCTGTTCCGTCAAGTTGATGGTGTCGCAATGGGAAGCCCTTTGGGACCACTTTTCGCCGACTTATTCCTGTCACGCCTAGAAACCGGTGCTTTACAGCAGCACATACAAGAAACAAATGTATACCTAAGATATGTTGATGACATTTTTATTGTCTGTGAAAGCAGATCAAAAGCGGAAGACATGTTGATAAAATTCAATTCATGCCATCCAAATCTCAATTTCACAGTAGAACACGAGGAAAACGATACTATGAAATTCCTAGACGTTTTTCTAGCCAAAATGAATGATGGCACAATCGAAAGATCTATATTTAGAAAGTCTTCATGGACAGGACAGTACATGCATTTCAAGAGCTTTGTCCCAATCCAGTACAAAAAGAACCTAGTCAGAACACTGTTCAATAGAGCACGGAAAATTTGTTCTGACAGTACTATTGAACAGGAAATAAAATCTCTGAAGGATATTTTATCTAAGAATGGATATCCTGAGAAGTTCATTAATAAATACTCCAAAGAAACTACCCCCCGCAAAACGATTCAAACAGTTCCAAAGAAACCTGTTTATATCAATTTACCGTTCAAAGGAGATGACGTACAAGAAGTAGTGAAACGAAGACTCGACAAAGCCATCAAGAGAACTTATTATGCTGCAAAACTTGTTATCCTTAACACCACCAAGCGAGTGCTTCAACAATCTGGGAAAGACCAGTCGCCAATCCTCGACACTTCAAACTGCATATATCAATTTGAGTGTGTTTGTGGCAGCAAATACATAGGTCGTACGGAAAGGCGATTGTCTACTCGCATGATGGAGCATTTGCCAAAATGGTTGAAAACAGCTGAGTTCAAAGTGCCAAAATCCTCAATAACAAAACATCTTGTAGATTACGGACATGATATCGACGCAGTCAAGTCATTTACCATTGTCAGCAAACAAAGAAACAAGAAGATGCTTGCAATTGCAGAGGCTTGTGCAATTCGAATTTATAAACCAGCTCTCTGTATACAAAAGGAGATGGTCGTAACTCTTAATCTACCATGGTAATACGTTTTATTCTCTACTTGTTATTATTCTACCTCTTCTTATTATTATTTTTGTTATTATTACTGCCATTATTATTATTCTTGATTCATTTAAATCTATGCTTTATCCGTAAGATTATCTTAACTCACTTCAACACTATTATTATTATTGTTATTATAACTATTACTATTGATATTAGTCTGTTTGCAATTCTAGTTATATTCCCTAATGACTAATTGTTTATCTAAGTGATGTAATTGAAGCGTAATGCAATTTATCTTAATTTTGATCTCTCATACTCTCTCTCTCCCCTTATCTATTTGAACATGACCTGGAAAATATTCGCACCTGTCTCTCTGCATGATTAATTCAATGTAGTTTGTTTACTTATCAGCCTTATGTCTCCCTATGTAATTTCAAAAGTATATATATTCGTGTACGTAGAGTATTCAACTTATCAGTCTTATATCTCCCAATGTAATTTCAAAAGTATATGTATTCGTGTATGTAGAGTATTCAGCTGACGAGTTCTACCGAAATTTGATGAATTCATTAAATCCTGCTTTATTAACCTTTATTGCTTGTTTCATTGTGATTTGTTAAATTCAAATAAAGTTCCATTGTTCTCTCATATTACTACCATACTTTTCCCTCACACGTCTGTTTATTATCTCTCTTTTGAACCTCCCTTTACCCTTTTCTCTTGCTTTGTGTGCCATATATGAAAGGAGAGTGGGAACTCAAATTATAGCACTTCTGTGTAAAGTTCTATGTTGAAACCAGTTGATCAGTCAGTCAGTCAATATACACGCCCAGTGTTTACATAGACATTTACCAATATAAATCAAAGTTTGAGGAGTAACACAACTTGAGGGGTTAATATTTAACGTTAATTTAGATTTCGTCACTATATTATACACCAGTCAAAAGTTATTGATTATATGGGCCGCTGTTTTGTTCTACTATGGAACTCTTCATCAGTGGTCACCCGAGATTCAAGCAGCGATCAAACCCTGGTCTTTCAACTGACGAGGGAAGCTTAGCCTGCATAGGTGTCCTGAAGCTGTATAATTACAAGTCGGAGACAGTAGAGTCAACCTTGTCAAAGTGAAGTGAATGGTCTGCGAAAGGTATTACTTGGCGATAGTGAACCACGTTGTCCTAATAACTAAAAGTTCTCAAATTAAAACGCTGGTACGGTGGATCACAAGAGAGCACCGCTGAGTTTTTAAATAGGAATAAAACAGCTGTCCAGTATTCCTTGATGGGTTTTTAATGGTCTGTGACCAAATCTATGTTGAAATTAATCCCAATATCCCTACAAAAAAGCCCATAATTCGAAAATAGGAGATACTAATTGCATAATCAACATATTGTGGTGGTGTCTTGTGCAATTTGATGCTACAGCAAGCGCAATTAGAATGCAAGAACACTCTCAGAGAGACTTCAAAATTGGCAAGTATACATACAATTTTATCATGAAGCTTTAAGAAGTGTTCAATATAAGGGATGCAGCAACGGTTAACAATACTAGTAGTCGAAATGATTTCAAATTATTTGGCTTTAAAATTTGTTTACAGGAGCTCATCATGAACTGACATAGGTTAGGGAACTATTGGAAAACTAGCTGCGACAACTGGACAGCCAGTCGTTTTGTCCCGGTTTATGACTCTTCAGAAGTACCCATCCGCCGTCAGGGTTCGAGCCCAGTTATACGGCGAGATCGTGGCCCATTAAGCCACTAGTGACTCGAGCCAATGGCCAATTCACAATATAGCGCGACCGGCACTAGTCAGTGTCATCCACGGCGAGTGTATTTGTCTTCACATACGATCTGCTGTACCCCGTTAGTCACGAATTTAAAATCGGTGTACCTAAGAGAATACAACTGATGAGTAAAGAAGAAAGTGAGTGAAACTTCTGACTTGACGCTAATCTAACTGCTTATACTACCACCACCACCACATTAATGGTACGTATCTTCATACAGCATTTGCTGGTTTTTTGATACACTATTTAGAGCGTCCAAAAAAACAGGTTACGAAAGACACCACAAAATATGTACTTTTTGAATATAACCAGTTAGACGAATCTTTAAAATAATAGTTACCAGTATTATTTAAATAAAGCAAGAATAACAGTGGTTTGTGTAGAATAAGATGATAGTATCCCATCATTGCGTATTTAGTTGGATTCTCATCATCTGTGTACACATTACAAATTTTACTTCATGTCGATGTGATAGAAAGCTCCAAACTTAATCAACAATGCTTAGAAAAATTACACTTATGTAGTTTTTACACAGAAGGAGTTCAAGTTTAAAGAAAGGAAATGTATGCATACAACGGCAAAAGTTACGTAATAACGACGGGAAATGAGTGAGATGATGAGTAACCCATAAATTGAGTAAGAATATACTTAGTTCGACTCAATTCATTGAAAAAGAGCACGAAGCGAAATTATATCATGTCAAAGGGGTTGGTGGGGGGTTGAAGCTAGTGATAATGCAGTCTACTGAACGAAAGAATAATGACATCCAGTTACCAGGTGGCCAAGGGAAGACTGTTTAACAACCTCTTGCTGAACACATAAGTCCGGGATTCAGGCTTTTGACCGAGATTGCCTTAGCAAACTCGAGGAGAATTGAACCATTATCCCTGTTCATAATTTCAAAGGATTTCATGATGTCCACCTTCCGATACGCACCACAAGATGTCTGGCAAAGACACCACTGTGAGCGTTTTCCCCTTGACATATGGGTCTTTTCGTAGATGTTCAGAAAATCGGACGTGTGGCCTTCTTCTTTCTGTCCTCCTAATGGTGTAATTGCTCCTTTACATTCCCAGTGGAGCGTAGGGCTTCAAGCTAGATCATTGAAGTTTTGGTAAAAGTGTTTATTTTTTACAGGATGCGGTTGCTTGCCTCAGGTTCAACATTTTCTCTTCACCAGCTTTATTACTACTGGCTTAGCATGGTAAAAGAGTGTGTCGGCCAAAGAATGAACCTCAGACCACGAGCATCCTAACCGTTGGACCACCAACGCGGCTCCCGCAGATGTGTTTAAATTTGTAATACTACACAGTTTGAATGAACATAAGAAACCAACAAAATAAATGATGAAACTATTTTTTATTCTGCACAAAGTGTTGTCCTTGCTTCATTCAAAATTCAAAAAGGAGAATAAATATATAAACTAATGATAATGACACGCTACACTAGTTAACCTGGAACAAGCTTAATCACACTGTGAATAGTAAAATCAAAAGGTGAACTCTCACTTTATCAACTCTACAAAACCAGAAGTACAATTTGTTAAGCCCATACCAAGAGCTGTTAGTTCTCTAAAAAATTAAATACAATAATAATAATAAACACATCATATGTTGAGATACTTAGTAATGTAAAATAGTTGATGTGAATAATAATAATAATAATGTTAACGAAAATTAAATAGTGAACATTGAACGAACGGATTTCCATTTTAGCGGGAGGCAATAAAATGCCGATAATGGTCTAACCGTAGATTGTTTCACAGAAAACTGGAGAAAAAACGATCAGAATTTATCATTGTGATTTATGCTGCTCCTGATGCTTTACTCATAGATTTTGTGTGTTTAATAACAGAATCTTGATGACAACCACACACGTGACCCGGTTTCGACTCCCAACCAACCCACTACTGCCAAACCTTGTCTAACCTAGAATAAAACCTGTAAAGCGACGGAAGATTTACTTCTCTACCACCGAGCTGACTAACGGCTAGTAAACAAGGCAAGATTCAGGAGCGTGTCCTTCAAGATTCGAACCCGGAACACGTGCGCGGTTGACGAGCGTTCTAACACTGAATAACTACCGACACACACATCACCTAATAAATTGTTGGGTCAATATCTTAACAAAATAAAAATGTGAATTTAAACAAGTATTTAAAATAAATACACAAATTCCATATATCAACACCTTAAATTACGACAGAACTTGTTACAATAGTCAGGAACCAGCCAAGAACTTATTGGTGTAGTTGTGTTCTTTGAACTGGATGGTTTAATTTGCGAAGCTTCCTTTGCCTTTCTAGACAATATCACACACACACACACACTTCAGAGCATATACTCCAATTTGAAGTGAGCTTCCTAATTTATTCTCCACGAGTTTGTATCAGTTATCCCTCCTGGGAACACCTTGAAAGTAGTAATTGGTGGCTTCTGGAAATTCTCTCAAAAACAATTAGTCGACATTGTATCGGTGCTGATTATCATTTTGTTGATCTTTTGTCCACATGAATTTCTCTTTTTGTTGATGAATGAAACCTTTATATCTATGTCATTGTGGTCTGTAGACCACAGATTTGTTAAATGATATACATCACATCCCAGGCCCTCGAGCATGACCCAAACGAGAAGTAACGAGTTGAGCCTCCGAGGTTGACGCACAGAAGGTAATCTGAGTAGGAAATGCCAGCTTGGGGTGAATAGTCTTGAAGCCAAGTGAGTGTTCAGAGTGCAGAGTGTAATGAAGATGTTCCCGGGAGGGGGGGCGGCTCACTCTCCACTGGGAAGGCAAGCAACAAATAATAATAATATAGCCGCTGACTTGTACAAAATCAACTCACTATGAACTCTTCACACCAAAATGGAGATGAATAATTAACATTTTAAAAAAACGTACTTAGCTACAATTACTTCAGAGAGAACTTCATCAAAAGTCTTTTGAGATTCACCATTAAAATTAATATGCCCCTCTACTGGAATAAACTTCAAGACGACGCGCTTCGTTCGGCGCTTCCCGGCCCAACATCGGAATACTTCACCAAAGCACCCTTCACCGATTTTTGCCAAACCTTTTCGTCTACTATCAAATTTCCAACAAAAACAACAAAATGTATTTGTTTATCACATTTAACAGGATTTAGATGAGAAATAAGAATTTATGTAGGAAATAGATTTTATAATATGATAAAATTAAGTAAATTTCGAAATGAAATTTGTAGAGAATTCGAAAAACGGATAATCAATAATTCAGATTGTTGCAGATGAATAGAGGCACTCGCCCTATCCACCCGTCAGTGAATCGACCAAATGTTTAATTATGCCTGAACCAATACAGCATATCTACACAAGACCCAGAAGAAATCAGTTCGGTGTCTTGTATAAAGTGTTAATACGCAGAGGTACTGTAACGGCAGAAGATAAGACACTTAGTAAAGGAATATTTATTTGGAATACGGAATCTTTATCTATATGGGGGAATTACGTACACCTTATCTTCACAAATCACCTTTTGCACAGATCTTCCGTGTTGTGTCCGCTACTTCTGGCCCTTATGTTACGTTATTTTTGTGTTCCTTTCACGTTTCCCATGTATCTCCGCAAGCAACACTGCATCATTCATCATTTGCTTTCTTGGGTTGACAGCCAATCAATCTATCCCCCTGCTAATTGATGTTTTATGCCAACGACCAACTCTTCATATTCATCTTTATTTATGTATACTACTGATAAATCTTATGAGTAGCACACGCCAGTGGTACCACTTCATGCACTTAATGTGAACAACATGACACAAGCGTGTGCTACTGTGACAAGATTTATCAGTAGCATGTATACAGACGTTGACTGGTAGAAAGTAGTCAAAACTGAAAACAACAGAAGCATTTATTTGTCAAATCTGTCAAATCCAGCTTACATCTTGGTCAAGAAATCATCTCAAGGTTTCACTTTCTTTCAGAAAATCATCAGCCAGTCAAAACAGTTTATTGCCCGTTGACCTAGTGTCGGCCATAAATATGGCTAAAAAAGTCAACTTTTGATGTAGTTTTCCGTTACTAAGTCGCTTGTCTTTTCCCGTTCACAATCCAGACAAGAAACTATAGCCCATATAAAACGCCATATGAAACGAATGTCGATTGAAACGATGAATTGAGTACATGGCGGTGACACAGGAGATATTATATGAACAGTAGTGTAAGGAAGGAAAGACCGATGAGGCTTAAAGGATAAGCTTACTGTAGGTACATAAATTTAGCGCATCATATCACCAATGTTCTCATTGCATATCATTCGCAAATTGGTCGAATATCACCCACCAAATTCAATAGCTTGTTAGATTCTGTACAGCGTTTGCAACATTCTTCTCACAGTTCTCTACTTCGATTGCCTTTTTCCAGTGTCCGAAACATATTGTTACTTTTCTGAATTCGTTTACTGATATACTACTTATATCTGATATCCGACCGAAAGCTGCTACCTTGACGTGGTGGTCGGGCTTGCACACCGCAATGATCTATTCAAGCTATACTGGCTGAGACTTATGTCTCTTGAGGTACTACCATGCCAGGCAGGTGAAATTAGATCGACTGAGATGGTTAGGACATGTGTTACGCATGCATGCCTAGTCATCGCCTTCCTCGACAATGGGCAGTGTTAGTTGGCTGACATAGGGTCAGGCTGGAAAAGAGCTAGCGGAGGTCAAACCAAAATATTATGCTACTTAATTAGTTCCTCTTTTCTTTGTCCAAGTGTTCCTCATATTCTAAATTGGAACAAACGACTAGAATCAGAGTATTCTGTAAATAGGTGCTCTCTCTCTCTTCCTGTCTCCAACTGATGTCACTCCATGATTAAATTGAAAACAATTCACATCCCTACAACAAACTAACACTTGAAAAAATACTTGTAACAATTTTCAACAAATAACTCACCATGTATGAACGATTTAATATCATATTGTCATGACGAAAGAGTCGACTTAATCGTTTCGAGTATTTACTCCACTTTTTCCCAGCTCCAATAGGTTTATTCAATCCTGAGGATTGAAATTGATGTTGTCGACAGTCTTGTCTGTGTTCATCTAAAGGATTACACGGTGACATATCAGGGGGACTGGGAAAATTCTTTGCAGTGAGTTGACCAACCTTCATTGAAAAATAAACAAATAAATAAATGAGTACAATACAAAAATTAAAACTGTGGCACTGGCCTACTGACAAGATTTATAAGTGGTAGTACATAAAGACATAAAAATATGTTTATCATCTGCAAGAATATCGAATAGCGGAGAGATGGATTTAATGCTGTAGTGAAGAATTGAACGATCCCTGTGAAACACACAACATGAGAAACATGAGAAAGGAAGATATAGGAGCACACATACACAAGGTTAAATTCACACAATGTGGAAGATAGGTGCAAATTGAGATTATATATAATATGTAGTTGACCTATTTTGCTTATACCTGTCTGTCTGTCTATCTGGATTCAACATAGAACTTGTACATCGAGTTGCTAATATAGGCAATAAAGGTAAAGAATAGGTAACACAGTCATATGAACTTGAACTAGCCAATTATATTCTTTTAGGTGAAGTGTAACATTCAGCATGAAAAATATATATTTACAGGATATATATATATATATATATATATAATAAAAATGGATCATACGGTGTATATGCCCACCCCTTCAATATATTGCGAAAACAGGTCCCATTTTCTCATTGGAGTGGTTACTGACATATGTATGCTGTTTTTGATATATAGCCCAACCTCTTGCATCCCCTACAAGTGCAACTTCTACATACAGCAAAGGCAGCCGGAATTCATCTGAACAAGAAATTTGTACAGCCACTTTCTGAGCACTGTTCACTAATTGCGGAACCTTCGGTCAACTGACATTATGAGAAATTCACAAGTATGTCAAAACTTCTCTGTACATAAACCTCATAGTTTATTTAGACTGTGAACAGTTGATGAGAAGCCAACGAAATAAACAATGATGGTATTTTGATTTGACACTAGTAACTAGTGTGATGTGTCTAATCCTCTGATTGGTGTAGACAATGATGGTACCATATTATTCTGCACAAAGCACTGTTGTTCTTGCTTTATTCAAATACATACAAATATGTATTAAGTTTTTTAGAAATGATTTTCTCCCCCTTGTAACTATGTTTCAACTTTGTTATTTTTACAATTTTAGCTAATTCCATTAACTTGTTTGTATTTTACGTAACTCTTCTAAGTTATCATGGCTGTTTTACAAATTTCTTGATTATGCAATAACTTGTTGCTAACCCTTACCAATTAACTTATATTGAATTCCGTAATTAATTAATTTTCACCTCTCCCTCCTTCAAAACTTGGATAGCATGTTACTAACGTCTATTAGTTGGTTTCTTCGATGACTTTCAACCTCCTAATTTCAACCACCCACCACCGCAGCCGCCAAGGGGACAGACGACTAGAACGCTGGAAAGAGCAATATGAGGAGCAGTTTAGTTAGCCTACAGCCACGATCAACCTGCTGAACATCCAACACCTCCCTGAATGGGATATAAACACAGGTCCTCCATCCCTAACTGAGGTTACTAAAGCTGTCACCAATCTGAAACTAGGCAAAGCAGCGGGACCTGATGGAGTGACTCCAGAGGTATTTAAGTACGGTGGAGACAGCTTGCTGTCTGCATTAACTGAGGTTCTAGGCAGCGTCTGGGAATCAGAAGAAGTCCCATCGGGTTGGTGTAAGTCACTGATTATCCCCATATACAAGAAGGAAGACAAGTCTTCCTGTGATAATCACACAGGGATTAGCTTGACTAATATAGTACCTTAAGTCTTAGGCTCAATAATCATGCGTAGACTGAGTGGTGCTCGGGAAGCACAAACACGAGAGAGCCAGGCAGGCTTTAGACCAGGAAGAGGGTGCATTGATCATATCTTCACCCTCCGACAGATTCTAGAACATAGGAATTCCTACCGGCGTCCAACAGTCATTATATTTCTTGACTTAAAGGCGGCATTCCATCCTGTCGACCGAGTCCTCTGGAGATGCTTGGCTGTAAAGGGAATTCCGAGGAAATACATTGCATTGGTCAAGGTACTCTACTCGAACTCATACAGCCAGGTGAGGACTTACGGCGAGTTGTCATCTGAAGTGTTGACAACTAGTGGTGTCCGTCAGGGATGCCCATTATCCATATTCCTATTCAACTTCATCATAGATTTTCTGATGATGTACTGCTCATCAGTCCACCTCGTCCTCCTTCATGGCTGTGAGACCTGGCCATTGAGAGTGGAGGACATGAAAACATTAGCTGTCTTTGAACATAGGTGCCTGCGCTGTCTCCCGTGTGAAGTGATATAATAAGGTGTGCAATATTGAGGTTAGGCATCGAGTTCTTGGTAAGCAGGGGAAATCAATCGACGCGGCTATGAAATTAGATCGACTGAGATGGTTAGGACATGTGTTACGCATGCATGCCTAGTCATCGCCTTCCTCGACAATGGGCAGTGTTAGTTGGCTGACATAGGGTCAGGCTGGAAAAGAGCTAGCGGAGGTCAAACCAAAATATGGCTTCATCTGTCAATGAAATCCACAACGGTTAGTTAAAGCCACCCAGTCACGTAGGAAGGTGTAAACTTCCTGACCGGTTAGGGTCCTCGGGACGGTAAAAACCAATGAAGGCTGGAAACAATTGGTGATATGGCTCAAAATCGTTCTCAGTGGTGCAGATGCATCCACTCCTTGTGACTTATGATTTTCAATGAAACTATATTGTTCTTCGTTATTACTATACCTCTGTTTACTGTCTCTATTATTGATTTTTTCTACTTTCCTCTCTTCCTTTGTGTGCTACATGGAGCGTGGCGACTCGGTGCATAGTTCCATGTCGAAAACAGACAGTCAGACAGTGGCAAGTTGAACTGTCGTATCTTTTTGCAAAGTTCCATGTCAAAACAAGCTAACCAGTCATACTCTTAAGCTCCAAAAAAAGGACGAAATAGTTGTCTAGCACTCCTAGTTGTTTAATGATCCTGCAACTGCTGCTATCTCTTGGTAAAATCTACATAATCCCTTCTTTTGATTGTAATTTTAAATAAACATCTTTTTGTGCACTGGATTCATTTGCTAAAAAAGGCTACAGTCGACATCATTTGTTTAAAATGAGCTTTGAAATAAATGAAATCTCTTGCAGTGTCAGAAACATTCATTTATACGCTTGCATGGCTTAATAGCACAAGTGAGCATAACACAAAACAACAACTTCATGTAAACCCAAATGAGACTTGTTATCTATTTTGCTTTGGTCACGTAGAATTATTGTGATTTCAGAGTAAGTGTGCCACTGGGTTGCTGACTTCTTCTAACCTTTTTTCTTAGCAGTAGGATGGACTTACTGGGAAGAAAGGAGAACATTACATGTTCCCCACCAATTGTGATTTTTACCTATACGTGACAACGCCTCAAGACAACCACCTGACCCAGTCTGTGAGTACGAGTAGTATCCCAAACTTCGTACAAACTACGAGTTCTTGTATGGCGCGTCTTTCGATACTCATAACGTACCGAGTTCGTATTTTCATGATGACAATAGTAATTAGTTAGTAATGTGACTGACACGTCATTTCTTACACTAACAAAGACACCATTCTTTATTGTTCAACCAATTAGAACAAACTTTTCATAGAACTGATTACCCTATTGTCTGAAAAAAGAACTATTCAACAAATAGAGGACATTTTGTCTAGAATTCTCAAATATCCTAGTAAATCTTAATAATGATATTTCATCCAGTAGCATACAGAGTCAAGTATGAAAGGGTGGGAAAGCAGACGGATCGATGTTCAACTCGGCATAAGTGTAAATCACACAATACAGACAGAAATGATGGAGAAGATTTGTAGCTAAGTGGACCACCTTGGCGTAGTTGTGTTATTCAAACCGGAAGGCCTACTAATCGCGCTAAGCTTTCATTGTCTTTCTAACTTCACCGTACATCAAAAATGCAGTGATGTCTATGGATTTGACTAAGCACACTAATATGCAAGTCATTGAAGGATGTCCCAAATTTCGATATCCAAAACATGAAGGCTGTATATTTCTATAAAATATAACCCTCTCCCCTATTTACTCAAAAATAAGGCTTTCATACCAGCTGTAAAATCAGTATTATACTGACTAAAGTAGACACGATAAATCCTAGTCAACCCACGAGATTAAGGAATGTTCAACATCCAGTCATTAAAGTACAAACAAATCAGACAATTGTTCCGACGCTTTCCTCTTCACTTGTAAGGAACTTCAATACCTCGTTTAATTTCATAACCAATTACAATAATGCGTTAGAATACATCGACAGAGCAGAAAACACAATGTGTGTATTTGTGCAATTCATTAACTACTGAAAAATTTATGAAATGGTCCATAGACAACTAGCGTGCACAAGACACATAACACTACATAAGAGCGCAAGCCCCTTCATGAAACAGTGATCCATCTCATTGTTTACAAGTTGACTGACTGCGTTTCAATATGAGACACAAAACTGTAGCAGCTCAAGTTACCACATTTCGAGTAGCACGCGAAGGTAGAGGAAGAGAAGAAAGCAGAAATCCAAGTGAACTATAGTGAGCAGAAATACACGGGAGAAAGAAAAGTTACGTGGAAAACCACAGGGATTCAGTGGATCCTGGAGTGTATGGATTTGCGCCACTGAGAACGATTTGAGACATATAACCAAATGGTATTTAGTCATTGATTCTTAAAATCCCGAGGATGCTGCCACCGTAGCAGTCTACACCTCCTTACATGGATGGTTCAAATCAGTAATCGAGGACTTAATGGTATGATGCCACATTCCATTCGGCAGCCATAGATACAGCTGTAAAAGCTGTGAATAAGTTAAATCCAAAGGTGAGTAAAAACCACTGGATCTCCACCGCCTCATCCGAACTGATAGATGCTAGAAGACTTATTTCGGCGAACTCCGAATTCAATGAGGAGCGAAAGCTGCACAAGAGGAAACTTACGAAAAGTCTCCGCAAGGACCGTGAACAGTGGTGGGCGACAAAAGCCAAAGATATGGAGAAAGCTTCGAGGATAGGCAACACCAGGCAACTATTTAGACTCATCAGGGAAACGGGTGGGAGAAGACAAATCATCAGTGAGACAATCTCGAAAAAAATGGCACTATAATTAGCTCCCAGGATAGACGACTGGATCGTTGGAAAGAGCATTATGAGGAGCAGTTTAATTGGCCCACAGCCACGCTTAATCTGCCGAACATCCAACACCTCCCTGAATGGGATATAAACACAGGTCCTCCATCCCTAACTGAGGTTACTAAAGCTGTCACCAATCTAAAACTAGGCAAAGCAGCGGGACCTGATGGAGTGACTCCAGACAAGTCTTCCTGTGATAATCACACAGGGATTAGCTTGACTAATATAGTACCTTAAGTCTTAGGCTCAATAATCATGCGTAGACTGAGTGGTGCTCGGGAAGCACAAACACGAGAGAGCCAGGCAGGCTTTAGACCAGGAAGAGGGTGTATTGATCATATCTTCACCCTCCGACAAATTCTAGAACATAGGAATTCGTACCGGCGTCCAACAGTCATTATATTTCTTGACTTAAAGGCGGCATTCCATCCTGTCGACCGAGTCCTCTGGAGATGCTTGGCTGTAAAGGGAATTCCGAGGAAATACATTGCATTGGTCAAGGTACTCTACTCGAACTCATACAGCCAGGTGAGGACTTACGGCGAGTTGTCATCTGAACTGATGACGACCAGTAGTGTCCGTCAAGGATGCCCATTATCCACTTTTCTATTCAACTTCATCATAGATGTGTTAATGGACTTAACCCTAGGTGACTTCAGCGACTCAGGGATTGACTTGCCACCTGGGAATAATCTCGTTGACTTGGAATATGCAGACGATATAGTCCTTCTAGGCGAAGACGCTGAAAAAAATGCAGTCTTCTGAACACCTTGAGCTGTAATCTACGAATGTTTGGCATGTGATTCGCTCCCGCCAAATGCAAGATGATGTTACAGGACTGGACTACATCGACGCCTAGTTTAAAAATAGGAAGTGAAGTGGTAGAGCACGTTAACCGCTTCACTCATTTGGGAAGTACCATCAGCCAGCGCCAACGGGTTGATCCCTGACGAAATCTCAGCACGAATACAGGGGGCTCGTTTCGCATTTGCCAGTTTACGCCGACTCTGGCGTAGACGAGATGTTCGACTATCGACCAAAGAGCGTGTGTACTGCTCATCAGTCCGCTCCGTCCTCATTTATGGTTGTGAGACCTGGCCACTGAGAGTGGAAGACATGAAAAGACTAGCTGTCTTTGATCATAGGTGCTTCCGCTCTATTTCCCGTGTAAAGTGGCATAATAAGGTGAGCAACATTGAGGTTAGGCGTAGAGTCCTAGGTAAACAGGGGAAATCAATCGACGAAGTCGTGAAGTTACAAAGACTGAGATGGTTAGGACATGTGTTACGTATGCCAAGCCATCACCTCCCTCGACGAGCAATGTTAGCGGATATAGGGTCAGGCTGGAAAAAAGCTAGCGGTGGTCAAACAAAAGCTTGGCACCAGTCAATGAAATCCACAACAGTTGGTCTAAGCCACGTAGGAAGGTGTAGCCTTACAGGTTGAGGTCCTCGGGACGGTTAAACTCTATGGTCGGAAACAATTGGTGACATGGCTCAAAATCGTTCTCAGTGGCGCAGATGCATCCACTCCTTGTGACTTATGATCTCCAATGAAACTATTTTGTTTTTTTATTACTCCTTTGTCTCACACCTCTGCTCACTGTTTCTATTAAGCTTTTCTTGTACTTTCTTCTCTTGCTTCGCGTGCTACACGGAACGTGGCGACTTGAACTTCCGCACATTTGTGCAAAGTTCTACGTCGAAAACATACAGACAAACAGACAGACGACAACCCTTCCTCCGTCTTCTAATTCACTTTCAATCTAACCCGATTTCAACTAGCATTGCATCCTGAACATATTTGAAATAGAATAAAATTAAATATGGGCGTTTAAAATTTGTTACAATAAAAACTCAATACAATCAAACATAAAAATGACGATTGACCGTTCAAACACAAAACAAAAAGGAATACAAACAACTTACTTCAAGGACATTCTTCGATTCTGTTTTTCGTGCTACTGTACCATCAACTTCGAGCGAACTTGATGCAAAACTGTTCGCAGGACCTGGGGTACTACAGAATGGAGCAGGTGAACTTCCACCTATCAAGTGATGCATTGTAACAGGGAACCAGCAGGAACACCGTAATGAAAGCACAACACCAACTGCACAGGGAAGAGTTTTTAGGAAATAACAGTTTTACTGAGCTTCATTAGATTTCAGATTCAGATTTATTGGTTGAGGGTAGAAGGCTTGCAGCCTATGTTAATCCTTTTCTAGTAGATTTCTGTGGTTGTCCAAACCCTTCTTGAACGAATCAGTTGAGGTTGCAGACACCACTTCTTCTGGGAGTCGGTCCCAAGAGTTTATGACTCGATGTGAGAACCAGTACTCAACAGCAATATGATTTCTCCTTGGCTTTTGAACTTTCCTGCTATGTCCTCTAAGGTGTTCCGACCTGGTGGGAAGGAAAAGAGAGAATAGGTCAGGTCCGTAGTCATTATTTAAAATTTTAAACATTAATGTTCAAGTTCTCCAATTCCTGGTCCAGGCAGTTGACTCCCTGGTGTCTTCCTGCAAGTAGAGAAAACAAAACATTGATTAGTGCTACAATATTAGTTTTGTTTCTCTTACAGCATGGGCACAGCAACAAAATTTGAAATGTAATCAGGTTGAGAAATATTTTCTTGATTCACTATAAATATTAATTGAATTATATTGAATCACTTTTGGAGGGCATAAAAATTACGTCAAAAAATATTTCTAAGGGTTGAGTTGCACGAGGATCAGCATGCTCGTTTTCTAAACATGTTCCAGAGAGCCAAGCTGGGCTATTTTTCCAAATAGTGGTAATCAAAATACTGAGACTTGGGTACCATTAGAATATATCAGTGAACCACACTTCACCTTACGGTTGTGAGTCATGGGAACACAAGAATACAGGGAGCGAGTTGTAGAATGCTTGCAGTGGCCTTCTTAGACTTGTCAAACATACTTCACTGACAAAACTAATACATTTCACTAGGTAGCAAATAATGTCATGCGTGTGGTCAATACTTTGGTGCGGGCCAAGTTCTATTAGTGAACTTACTAATATAGCCATCGTGGTGCACTCCAAATTTTTGATATTAGATGGTTAGTAACACAACCGAATGAAGCACTGGGTGACCCGCGTCCGAATCTCAGAGGCGACAGTACCCTTAAGACTGTAGATACGCCTTGTTGAAGAGTGCCACTAAGCACGAAGCCCAGTTTCAAGGCTTCCTGCCGACTACGTCTAACCATCTACTACATGCTCTACCTTAAACTGGCCGTAGATGTTAGTCATAATCTTATGACAGGGATAGTTCACGAATCACTATACTTTGAAACTACTTAAGGGACAGCTTAATACTATTTCAATCCAATAAGCATGTGAACTCTATGTCGTGAAACTCCGCGTAGATTTGTTGGCTTATCAAGAAACTCAAGATAAACTTTCGAAATCCGATGTCTTTTTAAGTACGCATTCTACTTCCAGCATTTGAGGAGATGAAAAAACACATTCCTTCAATAGATTTCTCCTTTGATTGTTTGGTTTTCACTTTCTAAGACTAGTTTATGGCGTTTGTGCCCTCAAATGACTCGTCCGTGAGCTTTCTTCAGACTGTTACCGGGAACAGATTTTAATGTACCATGGTACCATGGCAACATCTTACAATCAACCTTGGGATACTCCTCCTCATAGGCAGTATATCAATTTTCTTGGCTGCACACGAAAAGCTTAGGTCCAAGAAACCAAGGGCTCCGGAATTCACTGCCTCATTTTTTCCATCAATCAATGCAATACAGTATTCGCCCATTTATTCTGGAAGGAACGGTACATTCATGAACGGAGAACGAATTACCTAAAAAAAATCCCCCACTTGAAGGTATGGGGAGTGTAAACTCAGACTGATATGCTGGCAAACCCAACCCACATTGTCAATCATGTCGGCTCTTACCTATGACTCGCATTAACTGCAACACACACCAACTGGCTTTAAAAAATATTGAGGTCAGATGGTTTATGAAAACCACCATAAACTCCAATAAGAAATATATCACTAAGAAACGGTTTCACCAGTCTACCCAATATCGGTCAAACTTGCTGTGTACCATTGTTAAACAGTGGCAACCCATCAACATTCAGCTGCAGACTAAAGCAATCAAAAGATGCAAACTGACACCAACAACTCAGTATAGGCGTTAGGATACTTTGCAAATCAATATGATAGTAAACTCCATTACCAATAACAGTTGAGGGGCATGACTGGTTAGTTTTGAGAAGGTGTCTTATATTAGTTGGTAAGCTTGGAAGATGCCGTTTGAACAATCGCATTATCTTTACACCATCAACAATGCATGTTTTAGTGGTCAGCATAACCTTCAAGGCTGTCGCCCTAAGTTCTGCCTTTGAATTGCGTTCTTTTGCCTTATTCGAACATTTCCTATGGGACAACAGTGCGCCCGCGGTGTCACCTTATCAATTATTCGCCACATAAAATGCTAAGAAACCCACTTGGTAAGGTGATTTGCACGTCACTTTGCACGGTTACGACGCTACAAGACATCTACTAGACATTCACCGGCCCTATCGCTGAAATCGGGAAGTATTATCTTGGCTACAAGGCCGAGCAACTGCGACCTCAATCTCTTGGTTCTTCTATACAATGTGGATCGGTGGCACGTCTCTTTTTCAAACAAAACTGAAGCACAAGGCCATACTGAAAAGAATAAAGTACTTCTAAGGCGTCTAGGGGGATTCGGATTACTAACACTTGGTACTACTCCACTTTCAGTATCCATTTTATTAGCCTTGAAAAGACATTACACTACCAACACTTAAATTACTAGGTCAGGAGGGCACGAGGAAGAATCTGAAATTGCGGCTTCAGAAGTAAGGCTTCACATAAACAAACGTGTCAAAATGATTGAAATGAAATCGTCACCATTTGTTTTCACACAACTTCCCAATGATTAAATACATGTTGTGTAATATTCAGGCTGAAATGTTCCCCACCTCATGCATTTCCGATGTTAGGATGACTGCACAACAAAAACGAAATACCACCATTCCTCCCACTTTTCCCATGTTTCCCATATTTTCCCACATTTCCCACGTCTCCAGAAGATATTTGCCCACGTTTTCCCACTTCACCCATGTCATTTGAGAAAATAGCCCACCTTTTCCCACTTTGCCCGCATTTGAACGGAAAACTGTCCACGTATGTAACCATATATCCCAGGTCCAAAAAAGTAACCGACTGGGCAGTTCGGCAGCCATGCTGTCATAGTATAGCTACTGCCCAGTCACCCATGTTGAAGAAGGTAGCTCCAGACTCGAACCTGTGACCCACAGGTCGGGAATTACGAGCTTAGTAAGATCGTCCATGAGGGAACTACGACGGGCTTTAAGCCGACCATCATTAACACATCTTGAGACTCAACTATAAATTTAGCCCGAAATCTCATCACAATTGTGTGGTATTCTAAAGACCTCAGAAAAATTGGGTGGAAACTTCTACAATCAACAGATTTACAGGAAATTCAAAAAGGTATTTGGTGAGGTGTCGTTAACTTCACCTAGTATGCGGTGCTAACTCAACAATACTGGACTTTTACGATAAGACTATTGTCGGCCAAGTATCATAAACTGTCAATGTCCGGCTCTTGCTACGCTGCACCTCACGCTGTCCCCCGAAGATTTTCAGAAACTCAAAAACCAAAACACTGATTGGCGACTCAAGAATTCTTTATTCTTACGCCAACATATAACCAACGATAATGTTATTACAGAAGAAGGTCTAAGAACAAATGTTATAACAATAAATCACGATATTACTTCTGATAGTTTTTTAATCTTCCTTCTGAACAGCGAATGATGAGACGATGACTGGTGGATAAATGACTCCGCGAAAAATATGGGGCAGTTGGCTTTGAGCAAACAACCATGAATTAATCGTTCAATCTTGAACTACATTGACACTCCCCGGGAAAAAACGGATCCATCCCTTATTTCCATCACGAACAATACACGTGGACTTGTACGCCATTGCGAGAACTTGGGTCACACGGACAAAGCCGAAATGGAAAACAAACTGCAAAGCCAACACACCACAGCCATACCCACAGCACAATCTCCTACATCGACGACAACCTATTCCCTCCAGTTAAAGGCATCATCTTGACATCTCGCAACACAATCGCCACTTGCTAGAATAAATCTTGCAGAACGCAACGTGACCATAAAAGTAACTCAGGATACGCTTTGCACTGCGGTCACTGCGATCGCTTGTCAATCATTCTGCCTCACTTCTAGCAACGGTGACGTATGCTCTCCAGGGTGTGGGACCACAGCTAATCCTTATCTCCGTGTGCATGACATTCTCAGCACTATTCGAGGCTCTCCGGCGTATACGACCCATCTGCTGTCTTAATAATAATATGTATTTCTTCCTGTTCATGCAGGAATATACCAAATGTACAGGTATGGATAAGTTATTATATAAATTACACATAATTTGATGTATGACGAATTTACAGTTTGGTTGTTCTTTCTGACATTAGAGTTCATCGGAACAGTCTGCTATAAAGTCTGTTTGTGTAGCATATAAAGAGATATAGAAATATTGTCTTCGCATTAACAAAAAACCCAGCCATCACTCGAATATAATACAGATATCTGGGAAAAATAAAGCTTGAAGTCAATTCTCCTATATAACTTTGTTGTGAACAGCACCCTTGGCTTAAAGTTTATTGGTGTATTATGTTGAGATCAGTGATATATTTATTCCACTTTTTCAGCAGTCTTATCGTAGTTCCATAACAAGAAAGAAATTTGATCGTGGATTCGAAAACCTGATAAGGCCATGTTGTGTTGTTTTACTGCATCGAATGGGGCTGAGGTCGATTCCAGAGTTCTCGATTTGTGCCATTTGTGTCTGCATGGCGAGCTGTATTCGTAAGTTGAGTGAAATGTTGAAAACTGTTTGAAAACCAGTTGCTTCTTCATTTCAGATCATGAGTACTCATTTACAGCATGTTCGCCAGCGTCTTCAAATGGTAGAATTGGATCGTTCATGGAATTTCAGTGGTTATCAGATAAATGGTTTGGGATTAATCTTCATTTCAGTTTAGATGCGGGGTTTTTCGACCTCGACCAGAAGATAAATGGGAGTTTATGCACACCAGC